TTTCTCTCCAGAACTGAAATAATGTTCCTTTAAGCCATTGTATGGTTTTTCTGTTCATCCTAACTTTGCTGCTCATTTAAATATCAATGAGAGCCTAGAGCTGCTAGATCATTATCACTAAAATAAGCCTTAATTAGACCAGAAACATGTTGATATCTTAAATTCAACATCTGAGGGAATATAATCTTGCCTAGTGTTCCACAGATGTCTTTTAAGTTCCTCTATCCACCCAGTCCAATCAGAATACAGGGTACTGTAGCTACTACAAATTATACTAAAAAGATTCACTCTGAAACTGCTGCAGGGCTTCATGAGTTCATTCACTGTATGACAATCCTTTGCTTGACACTGGAATATGGTAAAACTTCTACAAATACTGAATGCTAAGGCAAAAGAAACCTGACCTTAGAATATTGTCAGATTAAAGCAGTAGGAAACTCCATCAATATCATTGCAACTTTGAAGACTGCATATATAATAAAAAGAAAAAAAAAACGGAGAGTACAATAGGAAGTCATATGAGTGCTCAGAACAAAAAGAGGAGAAATGATAAACTAGAGCCTGGGGGCAAAGGGGAAATGTTGGGATTTGTGACCAGCTAGTGTTGCTACACAGAAGGTGTAAGGTAAATCGCACACATTTGGGGGAAAACATCACTGTTTCTATTGAAACTGGTTTGTGTTGTAATTTAAAAACATTTGCACTCAAAAGAGGAACTAATGTAGATCTCAGTAGGAGTTTAAATAAATTACCCTCCTCCGCCAGTGATATAACTATATCCTCCTGTTCCCAAGCCGTAACCGTAACGCTCTCCAAGAAATACCGGTTCATTTGGGTCATAGCAGCTGAGTAGTTTTCGGAGTCTGAAGATACTGTAATATGAAAATCCATTTAAAAATTGTTGCAAAACTTCATTTTGAAACATATTGCTAGCTTAAATGGTATTCTAGTAAGTAGCACAAAGATAACAGGAGAAATTCAGAAATTCTACCAAAAAAATCCCAGAGATACAAACTGTTAAAAAGACATTTATGATATATTATTTACTATGAAATATGACAGCTGAATGTGGTCAAGTGATGAATCAAGTAGCTTAATGTATTTTCCCGAGGTAGGTAAAGTTTGTCCGCAAAAGTACATCTCATCTCAAAGAAATCGTGAAATTATTTTTTCTGATCAATGATAAGATCTTTGCAAACTATCACTGAACATTTACAAACTGAAAAAGGTCGGTTTAGTTATAAGAATACTCTATGTACAGTTACATCCTCTTCCAAATTCTTCTGCCACATGATTGAATGTAAAGTATTGTCTTGAACCACTTATGTTCATGACCATGTGATTCTGCTCATTGATCACTGTTCCTTTTTTTTTTGCTTATACTGCAGTGTCAGATTTTACGTGAATGGAATCTAATTTTCTAACAAAGGCACGTCTCTGAACATTGTTCTGGGTAGCTTGGACAAGTGACTCTAGCTTATGGAACCTTTTTTCTGACACATTTATGTGAGAAAAACATCTTAGAAAGAATATTAGTAAATGACTAAAACCAATCAGCTCAGACATACCTATACTGAGGAACCCACGTGTAATCATATTCAGACTATAACATGAAAATATTAATATGCATAGTTTTAACCAAAGTACACGATTACACTGATTTTAATATCGATCAAAAAGTGCTGAAGTGACTTTTTTTTCTTAAAGGAATATAAAGATATGTAACTAATAAAACAGGTGTATCTCTTAAATACAAAAGAATAGATGAATATTGCTAAAATTCTTATTGCCATGAACAGTACTAACTCCTGAGGTAATGAAATCTATACCTTATCAGTGTGTCATCATCCACTATGACTAACCAAGGGGTTCTGGGAGATGTATGATTCAAAAACCTTTCCAAAATGGCAAAGGTTTTCCCACAGTGACCTAAAGAAAGAGAAATTAACAGAATATACATTTAAATAAAATAGGATTTTGTAATAAACTATTATTCAATAATTAAATAAATGTTCTACTGCACTGTGTAAATCATTTTAGAAATGACTGGCAAAATATTTGGGATGCGAGTTTAAGTTACAATCTTTGTTATGCAGAATGGTATTTGTAAAAACTGCTCAGCACAAGTACTGCTTTCTATGCTGGAACACACTTTTGAAGGATTTAATTCTTTGAACTAATAATAATGTTTATTCCAACTATCCTGTTATGCTGTTGGACAATACTGGACAAACTGCTACTTTTAATTTCAAAAGCTGTAAAATGAGGAAACTATGACAGCAACATGTTCTGCAAAATACTCCAAGATATTTTCATAGCATTTCAGGATGCAGCAGGTGGATCTATTGCCTTTATATAAATATTTAGGTATACATTAATCTACTGCATTCATCACTGCAACTCAGGTCCTGATAACTGCCCCCAAGGAAAGGTGTTAATTTTTATCACAACACTATAACGAAGCTGGAGGTGCAAGACGCCCTTTACTAGGAATGGAGAAGTGAAACACCCTTGTTCAGAATGAGCAGGACAAGAGAAACAAGGCGTTTCATCTTTCTACTGAATGTTCTTTAGGTCTCAGAAAAAACTAATTGCAGTCAGTCTTCACTCAACACAGTTTGTTGTGTAAAGCAATTGTCACCATCAATATTAAAATTAATAAACATTAAAAATGATAGGATATTATATTTGAAGCTACTTCCAGCTAAAACATTTTTGAGAAAAGGCCTTAAGAAATGCTTAAGAAAAGAAGGAAGTTCTGGCTGTGCTGATTTTGTGAAACTGTGAACTTAATGCAGTCATGTATGTACATTTACAAAATGAGAGCCAAGATTTCTATATTGTATTCCATCACAAAACGTGGAAGGTCCCTTCCCCCCTAGAAATACTGGGTATGGCTTCTACAGATGATCCATACACACCTGCTGTCTCCTGAAAACACTCTCTGGTTGCATATGTCCCACTGCACCTGTGCAAATAGAAATCCCTGCCTATTCTATCTCTGCTTCTAACAGGCCCCGTGGAGGACAAAAAAAAAGGGCAGAAATAACCCAGAGATCAGAAAAACTGACCTAACTGGGCCAGATAAAGATAACAGGTCACTGCTTGGACACCTGTGGCAAAAGCATTCTTTTTAGGCTGCACAGACGTGCTACAATTTCTAAATTACGTACTTTACATGAAATACACATATCATCCATAAAACTTAACTTCTTTAGACAGTCATTTGTGCAAAACTAACAACAGTCTATAGCTCACCTCTGTCAGTATTAGGTATGCCTAAATCTATAGTAGGAATGGACACGTCTGCATAATCACTGTAGTATTCAATAAGGGCAGCTTCTCTTTCCCAAGTCTGCTTTACAACTGGTACTGCAAAACAATGATTGACACTGAAACACAAGTAACTTGATTAAAATAAGTACTTGATCAAAAACTTTATGTTAACCATTTATTGTTAACCATATTCCTTTGCACAGTAATAAAAATGCTGCTTCGAATACAGCACTGTGGTTCTAAATGTTCATTCTATCTTCTTTCCCATAATACTTAGAGAGAAACAATTTTATATTTTTATGAAAGCCAGTCAGGGAAGTTTTACTTACATGATAAAAAAATTATTTAAAAATAGGACTGTAGTTTCATATTGAATTGAAAACTGTGATATTTACATTTTGTCTAACCGAAGCGTGGAATTCATTACTTTTACACTTGCTTTGGTAGACTTCATAGCACACACTCACCATAAACACAATCAGAGATCAATCCTTCTTCCAGTATTGAAACTGCCACATTTTAAAAACAACACATCCAACTGTACACCGTATAAAATGTTCTGAATTAGAAACAGACCAAATGTGCATTTGGAAATGTTACGCTTGTGTTATACACATCCTATCTGACAGTGACGCCATGTTAATGCTCAAAAGCACCCATCTATGAAGACACACTCACAGGACATTTTATAACCATTTCTTTTATAAATCTATAAATATTTATTATTTTATTTATAAAATATATAAATATCATACAACTTATTTTGATCCCACGGAGATTCTGTTCAAAGGAGGATTGCTTAATGCTTCTCTAGAAAAGCAACCCTTTTCTTATTAGTTTGGCATTTCACATCAACATTTAAAATTGATCATGCAAAATTCCAGCAGCGATGCTATGAATGTTTACACTACATCCAGAAGTGAATAAATTATAGGTAACCCCTAAAACCCCCAATCATCTGCAGGGTGTTTTGAAGAAAACTATCAGATTAAAATAATGATCTCTTTTCCATCTTAAAAATGAAGTGGTCAGACCTCAGATGAGCAAGTAGTCTGAAACACTGTGCATTCTGCTGTCATTGTTTCTCTGCTTTATGTTCCCTGACACCATCCAGGAAGTCTCACTGGTAGCAGCCAGTGCTCTAAATGGAGGAAATATTCATGTAACTTCCCTTTGCTGCTATATAACTTTGATGCTTGTGAGCAATTCATTTTAGCCTCTTGCTAGACTCATCCATCACCTAATCTGATGTCTGCTGCCTACCTACCTGCTCACTTCCCTGTACTCTGACCACACAAGGACTTGAAGGATTAATTATTCTTGATTGACCAATAGTCAGTTTGATAACAGTTACCTTTTATTTCATTTTAGTGTTAAGACAGAGTAACAGGAACTCAATGCACTAATGGTAAGGCTTTAATATTTGGGGAAAAAAAAATCACTTCTGTAGCAGTCTGCAATGGTCCATTCCGCTTTTAAAAGTTTTAAAGAAATGTAAGAGTTTTCTCATTTTTTTCGTTAAAAAAAACAAAGAGAATTATCTACAAAAAAATGCATTCATACAACTTTATAGTAGAGTTTTGAATTCAAAGCCAGGAATTTCATGAAGCATTAACTCTGCCTCCTATGTAATAAAAAGTCACATTACATCATGTAGCACTGCATAATAAGGCATTAATTGGCAGAGTAAACATTTATTTTTTTTTTCCAACTAGATTAAGAAAACAAGTAGGCAGGAAATTATTTTCGTATTTTCTGGAAATGTTCTACCGGAAAATGTCTCTTAGAAGAGCAAAACTAGAAAGCTTTCAGAAAACAAAGCCCCAGAACAGAAGTATAAAGATACACAAAAACATCCAACCTTCACCTGTTAGAAGAGACATGCCTGTAAATGCTGGTTTACCTTTCTCCAGACAAGGACCTTAAACTCAGCAGAGTGCTTTAACATGCTGAAATATTTGCTGTTACAGACTGAGCCTCTCAATTTCTTCAGTGGAGTGAGTCCCCTTCTTTGTATAAATGAATATGTTCACTGAAGCAAGGACTTGAATCTCACCTCAATTAAGTGGTCTAGCAAGGGGGCTACTACCTAAAGCGTCTTGCTCTTTTCCTTGCATATCTTGATGGAATTGTCACCACCCAGACTAGCGTCTATTGTAAACTGAATCCCAGAATACTCCGTAATTTCTAGCAACTTGTATCTTCCAAAGAAAGAACAAATACATAAAATTTTGGGCTAGATGTTA